AGGATGCCTCGGGGGTGAGTAAAACGCAGCCTAATTTTCATTTTTGGGTGAACTAACCCTTTAAGATTTGATCAGCTTGGTGTTGAACAACCCAAAGAGCCGAATTCCACAAAGAGGCCCAAGACAGATCAGATCCTGGCGCCACAAGTCTGAAGCAAGCCTAACCAACCAACTCCACAGTTTGGACAGCTTTCAACATTAACACAAATGTTAACACATTGATCATTTCAACTCAGGAAGGAGACTGTCAATTTTGGGGCAAGTAACCAAGATCGATGGTCAAAGAGATGCACAGCCTGACCATCACATGTAAATCCATGATAGAAATCATGAGCTACATACTTCCTCGGATTGACTTTCCCCACCTAGAAGACAAGAACCAGGCTGAGATTCCTTCTAAACCCTTTTGACCTTTGGTCTTCACAGAACATTTCCTCACATTCACAGAATGGCCTTCTAGACCTTTTGACCTTTTTGTTCCTCACAAAGCACACCCACACGTTCACAGAATGACAGAGAAACTGTCTTTTACATACGTAGATGCATCAAAATGATCTCAAAAGGACTTATAAACGAATATCAGTCCATTGCTTAACTCCACATCATGTATGTAACCCACATATTTGACTATCATGTTTTGAGCACTCATTGTGTATATCTTTTTAATAACTATTGAATAGCTTAAGGGTTCATATTCATGTTTATTATGTGTGTGTTTGAATCTTCTTGCAGTCTGTGACCGCCTCAAAACTTCAACCAGCCTACAACTCCGCAACTTCAGCCAACGCCCAACCACTGGCTTCCCAAGACGTCACTTCAACAACTACTGAACTTCCAGCCAATCAGTAACCTCGGGAAACCCCCTTTTCTGACCAAGGGAACCCCCCTACACAGGCAATGCAAGTACCTCCAGATTCTAGCTGAACTGGTGCATTTAATATAAATGTTAACCTCATTGAGGAACTCAATTCGACGGTTAATTAAGTGATTGATGATTGTTCAGGTCTATGCAATTGCACATATTGCTGTAAACTTGGGATTTCACATTTTCATTCTCTTAAACTCATTCTTTCCTCACTTTCTCTCTTCCTGCAACTTATGTGAATGTATGAGTGCGTGTGTTTATGTGTTCGATTAGCTCATATTGTCTTAGATTTATCCAATAAAGTCTTATTCATATTGAAAAGAGAAGTATCTTGTGTTTTGTGCTTACAAATTAATGTCTTAAACTGCCGATCTTGTTACTGTGCTAATAAATAGTGTTTTCACTATATTTTGGATTTTAATATCCATTGCAGAGTTGATGTTATACGGCTCATTCAGTGAATCGCTGGCCGACTCAGTGATCAGCCGTAAAACAGTGATTCTGTACAAATTCCCTATTAAAACATAAATGATTCCCTTTGAGCTAAATTGACCTGTTTCCCTTACACTTTGTTAACTAACATTAAGAGAGACACAACATTAGAAATGCTGCACTGACCACAACAGTAGCCTAAAACTACAATAACATTACAATAACTGTTAACAGTATAATCTCCGCTCCACAGCCAAGATGACGTGAGGAAGTTTTTACTTTATTAAAGTTTTTATAAGCCTTCTAATTCTAAGAGAATATGTCCACATCGCAACTATAACAGTAACAACACAGACGAACGATATCAGTGGAATCACTTTAAGAAATGCTTCTTTTTTTCCCATCTGATGAACGATAATAACATTGACAGCCAATTAGAATCCACCTGACTAAAGAACTGGAGCATTTAAAGAGGCAGGTGAAATAACTACAGCCTGTGATTTTAATAAACAGAACGCTATTGTGTGTTGATGTGGATGCTAATACAGTTATTGTTATATTAATAGTTAGCATTCTTGGCGTGAATGGGCCTTAAAGAGATACTCCAGACACAAATTGAAATTCTCTCATAATTTACTCCACCTCATGACTTTCTTTCTTCAGATTAACTCAACTTTGAGCTTCCAATCTACTTGCATTATATGGACTCAAAGAGATGGATTCTTTAAAAAAAAAAAAAAATGTTTGTGTTCGATAGAAGAAAGTCATCTGGGACGACATTAGGGTGAGTAAATGATGAGAGAATGTTCATTTTTGGCTGGAAAATTCCTGTAAGACCAGGAACATGCATTATGAAAGTAAATAGCGTCCATTTTGATTTCAGACTGACTTAAAATGCCTCTGACAAAATGAAAAAAGTGCATTAAAGGCAGCGGTTGAAATCTCTCTTGGTTCAGCTGTGGCTGCCCCGAGGGTTAATTAAGAAGACAGAACGAAAGAAAGCTTCTAGAACAATGTGCTTATCAGTCAGTCAGCCGCTTTACAGAAATACAATGAGAAAGAAAGAGAGGAATATGGCATAGGTGAATGGTTCTGAATTAAGAATATATGATTCATGACATGGAGAAGATACGAACATTGATCTTTTGTTGAATAACCAGCAGTGGAATAAAGTCGTAAAAGGTACAGAGGGACAAATGGAGGGCAGACCGCTGGTGATGGGAAGGATTAGAGCCGTAATGGAAGACTGACTGAAGAAAAATGTATTTGAGCAAAAGAAAAAGAGGCTTGATTTTTATCAAAAAGAAGTAAAAGGGAAGTAATTCCTCTCTCAGTATCTTCCTGTCAAATGATAATAAAAAAACAAAGTCAAACATAAACTATGTTTCATGAAGAAAATGTGGCTTTCTTCTGCATGTAAGTAAATTTCTATGCAGTTGCTAAGGTACTCCGAGCAGTTTTTACCATGATATGCGGTTGCTAGGGTGTTGTTGGTGGTTGTAGATGATTGCTAACTGGCCTACGTGAAAAGAGGTCTAATTGCTTTTAAAAGTAACAATAACAATTAGTGCCGTCAAACGATTAATCGCATCCAAAATAAAAGTTTTTCTTTAAATAATATATGTATGTGTACTAGGGATGTGCATCTCGTGACTTAGGATAATACGATACGCATCTCGATGCATAGCCAACGATACGATACATTAAAGATACATATGAAGCACCTACCGATGCGTAAAGCAGGCTAACTGTCAGACTAAGCTCCTCTACTGACCAATAGGAACATAATGATAATACCACTGTCTGACTTTTTTTCAAGCCATGCAGCCTTTCTCTCTGGTTATATTACAGCTGTACCTTTTATAGTTTGCAGAACAGATAGCAGAACATTAGAAAATTACAATCTAAAATTGCTCTTTAAAGCATTAAAATAAATAAATTAAACGTTAAAATCACTGAGTTGTGATGCATCATATTCACGTAGCAGCAGTGGTGATGAGAGAACACACTTGAGTTTAGAGAGGAGAAATCAATCTACATATAAAATATTGGTCACAGATTATTGGTCACTTTCTAAATAATAAAAGTATAGCGCATCCACTAGTAATTATATATAAATGAATCGGTTTTTACCGATTGCAAATATGTTAGAAACGATGCATCGCGATATAAATGACAGCTTGTAGCCGATGCACACTTTTTAAACCGATGGATCGCATCGTTAACTTTTTTTACCGATGCACCGAGCGAATTGGGGAATCTTTCCATCCCTAATGTGTAATGTGTATATTTATTATGTATATATAAATACACACATACAGTAAATATTTTGACAGCAAATACCAGCAAATGTATATAGTGCTGTTATGTTATGCCAGCTTGGGATCTAATTTAGGATTCTAACAGGGCAGTTATTTTCTGTGGGGGCCATTACGTCCCTCATGGAGAAATGACTTGCAAATGTCAATGCACAATCTTATTAATGCTTCTGTACAGAAAGGTCAAAATGTCCGTCCAAAAATCAAAGACACAGTGGGTTAGAAATAATCATTCTAAAAGTCAGCAAGACACCAGAAATAAGAAGGCACACTTGCCTCTGAACTCGTGAGAGTGGGGCGAAGACTCCGTGTTTAGGAGGACAGCTGAAGTATTGTACTCCTCCAACTGATCCGTCATTCTTTCCGCTCGGCTTGTCCAACTCAATCCCCAACCAAAATCCTGTCAGACACACACACACACACACACACACACAGTGTACAAGCAGACACATTTTGAGAAATGTAGCGCTTTTCTCGCCGACCTGAGATTGGGTAAACAATCTCGAATCTGCAAATTCTCAGTACAGCTCACAAACGAATACCAAATCCTGCGATTTGAGTACATCCAGTTATTCCTTCCAAAAAGCTTTGTAATGCTTTGTAATGCAAGGACAAACAAACAGTTGCTTTTTAGTAAACAAAGCACAAAGCACAAAACTCAGGGTGAGCATTATTCTATGAATGTACGAATACTAGATGAAAAGGGCACATTGAGAGGAAGATGGATTTCACCTTAGGGCTTTCAGTACTCCATCAATAAATCTGCATGGATAAGGCTGATAAGATCCATGTTATTTTTCTAAAAAAAAAAGATTAATAAGTCATTACTGTCTGGTTGAATCTTTACTTCCAAATGAGGGCACTTAAGTTCAGTTCTTCTCCAGCAACAAACTTTAAGACAACTACTTGCTTAGAGCAAAATTAGAAAATCCAGTGTTCAGGAGGCTTTGGACGTTATTGGTCCGTGTTCCTTCTGGGCATTTGATTTTCTACTTAAAAAGTAATAAAGAGAAATGAGAAACGGTTAGATTTTCGCTTTTTCGTCCTGTTTAAGAAACGGAAAAACTAAAATGTAGCTTGATTTTTCGCATTTTTGTTCATGGGTAAAAAATGAGATTATACTTTAATATTTGTTTTGAATGTGTGGGTGGGGCTGAAAATATATTTTCATGGCTGCTGCATGTTATTGACAAAACATAAATGGCTTTATTCATAACCAGTAAAACGGCATTTGAATTTTACAGCATGACATGGAATAAAATATGATACCACTGATTTTTAGCCTAGTCATTTTATTCTGGGACCATAAAAAAAAAAAAAAAAAAAACGGGTAACGTTTTCATTACTAGCAACAGCAGAACTGATTTTTTACACAAGTTTCATGGGAAAAATCCAACCCCACATAAATATAATATTTATAATTTTCAGCGTTTCAGCGCCGCCCACACATTCAAAACAAATATTAAAGCATAATCTATTTTTTTTTACCATTAACAAAAATACAAAAAAATCCAGCTAAATTTGTATTTTTCCATTTCTTAAACAACATGGAAAAACGAAAATCTAACTCTTTCTCATTTCTCTTTATTTCTTTGTAAGTAGAAAAATCATATGACCAGAAGGTACACGGACCGTTATTCCACAGTAAGTCCAAAGCCTTCATAAGTAACTATCGACCCTTGTCGAACCAGAGTTCAGTTAATAAAGCCATTAAGCTGCACTACATGTGTTTCATTATAGAAGGGCAAAGGTGGTCACACTTAGAAGGGGACTGATGTGCTAACAGTGCTATATGTCTGAAGTGTAACTGATTTGTGATCATATAATTTGGTAATAATTTGGTAATATGATATTGGTGTTCAATGTAAAGCGGGGCATTTCCAAGTCAACAACAACCTTGTTACACTGAAATATAGCTGGATTTTGAAGCATCGTGTATTGCACAATCGTAAATTATTCATAATTATGCATAGATATCATTAATACAAGTAATCTTATTGTTTCTTTTACTTGTTGGAGATGAATCCTCTCTGGAGATGAGCAATTTTAGGACTTTAAATTACTTAGAATTTTTGAAAATTTGTATATTCAGAAAACGTGTATATAATATTATGTATATAATGTTTTACTATTAATTAAAACATTAGATTATACGGTAACACTTTACAATAAGGTTTCATTTGAACTAACAATGAACAACACTTCTATTGCATTTAATAACCTTGGTTCATGTTAATTTCACCATATAATAATAATAATAATAATAATAATACATTAATCAAATGTTGTATATGGTAAACATTACTTGCACAAATAATGAACAATTGTATTTTTATTCAATAAAATTAACAATTAATTAAATTAAATAAATATTAATAAATGCAAATATTAATTAAATACTTCAAAGAATGCGAGAAAGCGAGCAAAGTTGTCATCAAGGCATCTAAAATTATAAGTTCTGATTTGTTGCTTCGTTTCATTTAAATAACATGATACATGCTTGTATCATGTGTATAATATATTTTGTTAACTGAACTGGATGATGACATCACTGAATCATTAATTAACTGACTTTAGCTGAAAAATGACTGTTATTGTCTTCTTGCATCATTGCCAAACTATTAAAGCTGCTTTGATACAACCAGTGTTATATAAAGCGCTATACAAATAAAGGTGACTTTACTTGACTTGTTATTACACGGCTCTGTGGAATACTTGATTCTGATTGGTCAGTCCCAACATTCCGAGGTATGTTATCCCTCGATAACAACCAGTAAAAGCTCATCCGGGTAACTAAAGTCGGCACTATACGCTTGCTAGGAATAGTATTTATTGGTGGAAGCTTTGCGTTTGGTTAGGTAACAACATATTAAAACTCTATTCAATATTTTGTACAATTATTTAATTATGTCATTGTATCACAGATTCGATCTCTCGTTTCATACAAACACAGCTGCTGCAATTTTGCAACGATTGTTTTGTACACTGTAATGGAATATATTATAACTAAGAAACTGGTAAGATTTTAAAACATTTTTTTGTCTTAAATCACTAGGCCTATCTTTTATTGCCGTAATGATTTATGTGGTGAAATGTTGTGTAATAAGTGGCAAGTCTTGATCACCCTGTCTGGGGTTATTCTGCAGGCTGGATGTACATTATCCCTTACTTATATGCTGTCCCTTCTGTATGTGTAATTGAACATTATGCACATGTAGCCAGTATAATACGTGCCATAGTAAATTGTCCCCGACTTCTCTCTAAATCTGCTGTTCAGCTTTTGATTTGATGAAATTGCTTCACTGCCTGATACATGAAAATGCTCTCCGCATAAACCTCAGAGCTGAGTTCAACAGCACTCTGCGCTCATTAATTAGCGGACAGCAGTGAGCGTTTAAGCTTTTTATTCCAGTTCAGCTATTCTAGTTTCCCAAACCATAAACCAGCAGCCTTCAGGCACAATTATTCAATAACATTTTATTAAATAATGTATTTAACTTTGCGAATAAATTGTATAAATATAAAAAACACAAGCCACAGCAGTTAATACAGTGATATGTCAGCTCATGTGCACAATGGCACAGTGGCATATTCAGTTCAACAAGTTCAGCGGAGATTTTCCTCACGCTTTGGACTTTGAACCCTGGTGCGAGCTCGTGCAGCGCTGTCAGAATACATGCAATTCCTGCGTGCATTATAAAATATGACATTCGGCAGTTTATTTACTAATCGTTTGAGGTAATTTCGCGATTTCAATCATCATACAGTAACCTAACCACCAGCATCAGCCACCTCTTCTTCTCATCGGAGACATGATGCAGCACTAAACAGTCTCTCGCTGTCGGTGCTTCGTGCTTGTAATGATTTCTGCGTCTTTCTCTGATAGTTTTAAATACTTTCACACTGCCGACATGTTTTGCTGCATTAGTGCGTGCCTCTATTTGATCGCGTTAGTTATTGTTCGGTAGGCCTACATGTTATTCGGCCTTTTCGCTTATTCAATTTATTAAGACCTGAATGAGTTTTACTGCAGATTTGAAACCCGCGGTCTCACACCCAACACCCATTCTGACCATCTCTCTACACAAGCACTAACACTTCCAGCAACCCCCCTCTCCCCAACTCCTGCACTTCAGATCAGTGAAGATGATGTGTGTCAGGTCTTCAGGAAACAGAAGAGAAGAAAATCAGCCAGCTGGCCTCCATCTTTTCACAGATCTTCACCAGATCACTGAAGCTGTGCAAAGTCCCTGCCTGCTTCAAACGCTCCACCATCATCCCCATTCCAAAGAAACCCAAAATCACAGGACTTAATGATTACAGACCTGTTGCCCTAACATCTGTGGTCATGAAGTCGTTTGAGAGACTGGTGTTGGCTTATCTGAACAGGGCTCCAGACTCCGACTAAAACGGTCGCATTTGCGACCAAAAATATTATTTTACGAGTTAAGTTTTTGCTGAGGTCGCCACTGGCGACTATAGAAATTTACGTTATGATTAAGAAATTTGCATGAAATGACTTTTTTCCTGCTTGTTTTGCGATCACATCTTTAGTTATGTTGACGTTATAAACTGAGACGATGCACATCAAAGTTTTAGTGGAAAAAAGACAAACAGTCCTCATCTCTGTCGAAACGGCACACCTGCTAAAAGCAAAAGCATGTTGTGCTCGTGTTATAAATAGAAACTATGCCTAGCTTGCGCATATCAATAATTTTAATGTTAATATTAGTTGTTCTTTTTGCTTTTGTACAACAGATAGATAACAATTTATATGTTTTAGACACTTTATATTTAGATAATTTCTATTTTGCGGGAGTCCCACGAATAATGTTATTCTCCCGCATCCCGCACACACACGAGTCTCTTCCCGCCCGCACCCGCACTCGCCCATCAAAAGTTGTCCCGCGCCGCACCCTGTTGTGTTGGGTCCCGCGGTACTCCCGCGGGAGTGCAGGTCTCTACCTCACATTCAAACCATCTCCTTTTTGAGCTCTTACAGAGCACCGAACACCAGGACTGCCAGGCACAAGAAAAGTTTAATCCTCCAGGCAATCTACCTCATGAACAGTTAAATGTTCTCCCTTACTCTTAAATAACAATATGTGCAATACCACTTTTATTTATTTAATACTACTACTACATTTCATTCCTTGTAAATTCTATTCTATTCCATCAATATACAACAACTGTACATACAAATTTTGTGTATATATATATATATATATATAGGCCTATACACACACACACACACAAACGTGTATTCTTCTGATCTACTTCTAAGATTTACTTATCTAAATGGGGACATTCCATATAGACTTCTATTGTTTTTATATACAGATAGTTATAGATTTTATAAGCTAATCCTAACCTACACCCTAAACTTACCCCTAACAGAAAACTTTCTGCACTTTTACAAAAAACAAACAAAAAAAAAACTTTATTTTTATACCAGTTTTACAAATGAGGATGTTCCCAAAAAGAGTTTTTTGATGATTTTGTCAGGTTTAGCTCACTTTTGGATACAAAATTGTCCCAAAAATATGGTTAAGTAGGCACGCACACACACAACACATACAGTAAGCGTGTGTGTATGTGCATCCCTTATTTTTCTATGAAAAACCACAATTGTCCCTTATTTGTTGGCAACCCTACCTGGAACACAATGAGTGTCCCTAAAATCCTGCAAAATATCTAGTGTACTTTATACGGCTGTAAATACAGCAACTAACTTCACAGTGCTGAAGAACTGCTGAGCTCACTGCCGAGTCCCATTAAGTGAATAACATTTAAACGGTATACATTTGAAAACTGCTGCATTCAACATAAAGACCTAGCAGAGTAGCAGACACAAAATCCCAGCAGAATGACAGGTAAAGTGTGTGTTAAGCGAATTTGAGTGGCTGGCCTTTTACTCATTTATAAAACGTTTCTCTCTCCATTGTGTGATATTAGACATCTTGGAACATTTATGCTGCTACTGAAATATGGCTTTAATTCATCCAGAGGTTACATAAGGGAGAGGGATCCAAGTACATTGGCAAAGGAATAGCCATCGAATTTTTCTAAATGTGCAATTAACCCCGACCCATAACGCACTTTCCAGAGTTATTGTACACTGCGAGAGGTTGTTAGAAAGGCAACCGTGTCATACCTGGAGCAAAACTGGTCTTGCCGTAATATCGGACTACCCCTGTCCTTTGTCCCACCACCAGTACACGCTCCCCCAAATGCACCTCTAAGCTCTCTTGTGCTGTGCTGCTGGCTGAAGGGGTCCTGCTGCGAGCAATTCCTGATGAAAAAAGTAAATAAATAATAATAATAATAAATATTCAAAATATCTCTACAGTAACTGCACTGTATAATTGCTATCCAATGTAATTAACATTTACATAAGGAAAAAAAGGAAAGTGAACATTATGGAAACCTAAACATAGAAATTATCAAATTGCCAAAACATCAACTGTAATAAATGACCACTATATGGATGAACCTTCTATTATTAATATCCATCTAAAAATGTCATGCATATTGCATTCAAAATACAGGAGAGAGTAGGGTAAAATTCATCAGTTAATGTATCATAATGTATCATACATTACAATGTTAAATGTATCATAAATTCCATGTGTTATATGACCATGTCTGTAGAAAGTTTACTTAGAAAAGTTATGGAAAAGTTACAGATACTTAAGCATTGTTATGCTAAATACTTTCCACGTACCAGAGTGTGGGGTGGCAGTGAGGGAACAGGAGGGGGAGGAGTAGATCTGGTGCTGGGAGGGGTCCGTTCCTGCAATGGCTGCAGTGGCGGTCTTTGACGTGGGAGTGGCCGTGGAGGTCGCCTGTAAGCTTGTCTGGAGTCCAAAAAGGAAGAGGAGGTGGAACAACTGCGTGAAAGAAGACCTGTGCAGACAGAAAAGACAGATCAGGGATGAGAAAGGATAGAGTGGAACTATAACAAAGAAAGCTGCAATGGGGCCTATCTATCTATAAGTGAAGTGACATGTGGCCAAGTATGGTGACCCATACTCAGTCGTGGTATTGAAGGTGGGAGAGAGTGCTGTACATTCACTCCCCCCACCCACAATCCCTGATGGTACGAGACTCGAACCCACAACCTTTGGGTTATGAGTCTGACTCTCTAACCATTAGGCCACAACTTCCCCTTTGTTGGGGAACATACGTTCATCTACGTATGTATCTATCTATCTATGTATCTATCTATCTATCCATCCATCCATCTTTAAAGTCTCTCAGAATTAAAAATTTCTTGGAGGAGCCACTTTGACTGTGAGCTTGATGTTCATGATATGATGCAGACAATTTCAGTCTTTCCACACATATTTTCTGACACGCATCACACAGCATAAAATCATATAGACCTGGAAAATTACTCTCAGTTACCATTAACCTCTCCTTCTTCTTGCCTATATAACAGTATCTCATGCAAGGGAAATCACACACGCTCCACCCCTATTGGTATTCGCCACGTTGTGTTACCTCTCATTTCCATAAAGTTAAACTTTAACACACCCACACTGATCGCTGTCACTCGTGTCACCTCATATTGCCAACTCTCACTGAAAATGACTGACATCAGGTCACTTTATCACTGCAAATAGCTGTCAGTGTAAATGTCTCTTGATGAGCTAAGTGTTAAAGGTTTATAACACTGCAATCAGTAATTGCAGGAGAAGCATTTCATGAATTAACCTAGCGCTAGAATTAAAGGGATAGTTCACCCAAAAACAAAAATTCTGTCATTAATTACTCACCCTCATATCGTTCCAAACCTGTAAGACCTTCGTTCATCTTCGGAACACCAATTAAGATATTTTTGAGCTTTCTGACCCTGCATAGACAGCAATGCAATGGACACATCCCAAGCCCAAAAAGGTAGTAAGGACATAGTTAAAATAGTCCATGTGACATCAGTGGTTCAACCTTCATTTTATGAAGCTACGAGAATACTTTTTGTGCACAAAGAAAACAAAAATAAAGAATTTATTCAACAATTTATTATCTTCTGTGTTGTGGTTCTCTCGTGAACGCGCGTCGAAGACTGACACGGTTTTGTTTGTGCACAAAAAAGTATTCTCGTAGCTTCATAACATTACGGTTGAACCACTGATGTCAAATGGACTATTTTAACGATGTCCTTACTACCTTTCTGGGCCTTGAATGTGGTAGCTCCACTGCTGTCTATGCAGGGTCAGAAAGCTTTTGGATTTCATCAAAAATATCTTAATTTGTGTTCCGAAGATGAACGAAGGTCTTACTGGTTTGGAATGACATGAAGGTGAGTAATTAATGACATAATTTTCATTTTTGGGTGAACTATCCCTTTAATTCAACTAAGCTCTATAATGTCACTAAGTAGTCAAACCAGAGGTATAAAGAGTACCTGAAAACCATACTTGAGTAAAAGTACAGATACCTCACAACGAAAATGACTCCATTACAAGTCACCAATTACAAAACGACTTGAATAAAAGTCTTAGAGTATCTTATTTTAACACTTATGTATTTTACAGATGCTGAATACTGGCTCAAATATGCATTAGTCCTTAACACCTAAGAGGCGTCCCAGTGCAAATCAAGAAACAGTTGATTTGTGAGGAGAGCAATCATGTTTATTTTCTATAATCAAAATAAAACAGAACACCTCAAAATTCCAATAAATCAATGTCAACACAACTGCTTCTTAAACGTCTACAGGCACTCAAGTCTCAGTGAAGCAAAAGTGCTCAAAAAGGGCATAAGTAAACCAATACTCTTCAAAAAGTTATCTTCAATGTGATGGATAAATAAAATAATGTTAAGTAAAATTAAAAAATCAAAAGCTTTACTAGCCGTGCTGGTTTTGGCCTCATATAAAACACTAGCAATTCACTACTACCTGCTAATGCACTCACATTCACATAAAGAAGCCTTGTTGACAAGTTTCGGTGAGTAATGGCACAATGCACAAGATATAGTACCTTTAATGCCCTATAGATGGCAATATTGCTTCTTTTGTAGCAGAAATAAACTGCTGCAGAAAAAGTGAGGTGCCATGCAAAATGAAATGAGTAATTGCAACAGTCATTACAAATGTAGTGGAGTAAAGACTATATATACCTATTCAAAAATGTAGTGAAGTAGAGAGTATAAGGCCCAATCCCAATTCTATTTTATACCCCTTCCCCTTCACCTTCCCGAATGAATGTAACTATAATTTGTTTATTCACAATTAAAATGTATAATTAAATTAATTAAATTTAATTTAGGGCCCCATTAAATATGTTTTCTGTCATAATTTCTTTAAGTTAAACCAGACTTTTATTTTGACGGGTTGTTGTAAATGTATTTCGGTTTCAATGTGTATTTGATGGTAGTTTTTCTCAAATGAAACGGTGTAAAGTTGGTGAAGTGACACTCAGAGCATCTCTGGAGATGAAGTTCATGTATTCATGTCTCATATATTGAGACGCAGACGCTGAAATGACCGTACGCGTCACATATGTTTGAGTTTTTGTATCAGATGAAACCGCGCCATTCATTTACAGAGACACGCAGAACAGTTTCAGTTTCCACATCTTTTAGGCTACATTTACACTAATGCATTTTCATTTTAAAACGCATAGCATAGAATCATCATTTCTATTCTTTTTGCACTGATTTACTGATGAGCTTTAGCGGCTTCCAGCACTGTCTCAGTCTGTTCTCTCTTCCACAATCTCTGTTCTGACTCAGAGGAAGCTCATTTCTAAGGATGAAATACGAAACTAATAAACACATAATTATGACAGTATATAATTTGTATGTGATTTTCATGAGATTCTGCCTATTTTCATAACAATACAGGGTGTTTACATCGCGCCATTCATTTACACAGACACGCAGAACAGTTTCAGTTTCCACATCTTTTAGGCTACATTTACACTAGTGCATTTTCATTTTAAAACGCATAGCATAGAATCATCATTTCTATTCTTTTTGCACTGATTTACTGATGAGCTTTAGCGGCTTCCAGCACTGTCTCAGTCTGTTCTCTCTTCCACAATCTCTGTTCTGACTCAGAGGAAGCTCATTTCTAAGGATGAAATACGAAACTAATAAACACATAATTATGACAGTATATAATTTGTATGTGATTTTCATGAGATTCTGCCTATTTTCATAACAATACAGGGTGTTTACATGGGAAATGCTAAGCAGGTGTAGCGATTAGCTTGATATAAAAGGCTACAAATAGCATATGTCAGCAACATTATATGGCAAACACATTAAAAGTTATTACAAACACTCAATGGTGGTTTAAAGTGAGTTTTGAGTAAAAGCGTAGTATAAATCTTATAAATGACTTTTGTAGCATTATGCTACAGTGTGCATGAATGGTCGCGCAACTTGCGTTTTTGGTCATGTAGTGTGGATTGAGATCTTTTCTGAAATGCAGTGGAAACACCAGTATGGACGAGTATCATTTTCATTTTAAAACGAAAACACACTAGTGTAAATGTAGCCTTACATCTATGGGGGTTGGGACATTTACACACTAAGTGAGTTTTGAGTAAAAGCGTAGTATAAATCTTATGAATGACTTTTGTAGCATTATGCTACAGTGTGCATGAATGGTCACGCAACTTGCGTTTTTGGTCATGTAGTGTGGATTGAGATCTTTTCTGAAATGCAGTGGAAACACCAGTATGGACGAGTATCATTTTCATTTTAAAACGAAAACACACTAGTGTAAATGTAGCCTTACATCTATGGGGGTTGGGACATTTACACACTACACACTACTCAATACCCAGCCCTACTGGCTGTTTGTCATATTTATTTCTGCTGTTAGATTCATCCATATTGAGTAAAATGTCCAGAGCTTATCGTTATCAACTTAAATTTGATCGTGACCTCAATATGACATTGTTTATCGACCAGCCCTATGTGGAATTACATTTCATATATTGACTTTATTCAAATACTTTTGAATAAAGTCAGTTTTGAGGCCACAGTTGTTCAGCATTGTATAAATCATGTAAAACAGGGAATGTGCATCATGTTTGACACCACAAAAACAAAAGCACCAGAATCATTAGTTCTGTACACAAGGCCCACACAAAGAAGCAGCATCTATTGGAGTGTTACAACACAGTCCCCAAGGACCCCTAAAAATGCTAATACAGGTGCATCTCAATAAATTAGAATGTCGTGGAAAAGTTCATTTATTTCAGTAATTCAACTCAAATTGTGAAACTCGTGTATTAAATAAATTCAATGCACACAGGTGAGCACACCAAAACAACCAAGATGGTGTCATCGCTGACCTTCACAAACATTATTAAGACTAACCAGTTCAATATTAACACTGGGATAAATATCATGAACAGACAGATATTACGAACACAGTGGAAACACTGTAGTTCATGTTGTACTTGACTAGAACAACAGTATGATAAAAGACAAGTAAATGTTTAATACAATAAAACAAACTGTATTAAAACAGGGAATTAAACAATAATTAGCATAAACAATCCTCCACCAACTAATATTTAAGCAATATCATAATTATTACATTTTTAAACAAACAAAAACAAATCAATCAATCAATCAATCAATCCAAGATCCAGATATTTGAGAGACAGAAAAAAAGAGACACACAAACTGAAACAAAACATAAGTGATGTAGTTAAAGAGATTTAGGCTGCAGATCTGGGTGTCCACGTCAGATTTATTTGTTTTACTATATCCGATTTTTTTGACGACCCACTTACACATTCTTTTAAAAAAGTTACCCATATCCGATATCTACATTTACACTACACAGGCTTAACTTGACGTGGCTCAATGCATTAGACAGTGATATTAAAATACCAAACTCTGCACACACTATTAATAAAACATACTTTGTATTGAAAAGC